GTTCTGAGGAAGGGTCACCGGACCCGAAACGTTAACTCTGTTTTCTCCTCCACAGATGCTGCCAGACCTGCTGAGCTTTTCCAGCAACTTTGTTTTCGAACCAAAAAATACAGCAGACTGGAATGCTAGCCCGAAAGTGAAATGAAAGTATATCGCACCTGCTTTGTCTTTGTTTCATATGCACTGATATTGTTAGATAAAAGTAAAATACTGCAGATACTAGAAACCTGAAACAAATACAGAAAATGATGGACAAACTTAGCAGGGCTCACAGCATCTTGACGGAGAAAAACACAGTTAACATTTGAGTCTAGTATGACTTTTCTTCAAAATCAAGAAGTCATCCTGAACTTGAAACGTTAGCTTTGTTTCTCTCTCCACAAGCTGCCAAACCTGAAGCGTTTTTCCACAATTCTGACTTTGTTTCATCCATATTATTAGTTACCTCCAGAAGTCGAACATCCAGACGTTTCAAAATCTCAGGACTATCGAACTGTGCGTTGGTGGCTCTGACAGCTGTCTCAAGGATTCCAGTCAGATTATGCTGATACAAAGTTGACGCTGATCTCGCCAGTTCTGGCCTATAATACAATAATGGCGCCATACAAAATCACTGTAACAATTTTAATTCCTCACACAATTATCCTGTGGCTCTTCTGACTAACTTGACAAAACTTCAAAACCAATTACAAACACATCACATTCACACAACTCAAGCTAAATCACACATCAAAGTATAGAGACTCATTAGATCACACATTGTCTGATAATCAATTCTACACGAAGGCTGATAAACAGACTGACGTCATCAGTCTGCTGCACTGCTAATGATTCTCGCAACCTCCACAGTCTCAGGCAAAATCAAATCATTCAAACTTCCAAGAATGCTTTTCTACAGCAAGTTTAGTTTTAAACTTCATAACACTTCCATAGCAAAGACTGCATGCTTCCACCCACCTCTCCTCTCCTCTGCATCTTCTCACTTTCTCTACCTTAAGACATCACAATGCTGAACGATACCCTGTCATTCTCCGCCTCTTCTAAGTGTTAGCTCAAGCAAAATCCTTCTGCCACATCTCTCATCAACGTATAATTGCAATGGCTCCAGAACCAAGTCTCAAATGTAAAATTCTTTGTGTTTTCATAGCCACAAATGATTTCTGTTTTTGCATCCATAGTTGCCACAATCTCTGCTCTCATTCCAGCCACATTGAACGCTAAGTCACACCATCAGAATCCATGCCATCGACTGTTCAAAGGTCCCACAAACTCGAATTCTCTCCATTAACCATCACCCACCCACCTCCAGTGTGTTTCTGGACAGACTCCTCAAGTTTTTTTCTGCTGTCTTTTCTCATCCAGCCTGTGAGAAAATTTGTTTCTACATTGAAGACATGATAAACACTATCTGCTGTTAAGTGTCCAAATTTTAAAATGTGTTTATCAGCTTCACCACAGTTTGAAAAGAAATCATGGAAAATGCTTGCAAACTTGATGCAAAGATATCAGCACTGAGTACTTCATACAGAGGTGTAGCAAACTTAAGTAGAAGTCCTTTTACTCAGTTCCAGCAACACGCATTAGCCCAGCCTCTCAGTACCACTTTCCTGTCCAATGTGATAGTTTAATTGAACTCTGTCATTTTCTGAGTTGGAGGACCAACACTGACCAGATTTGTACCCATTCTCCTTTTGTCACCATTAGCTTTTTGCTTTCAGCCAATTAGATCGCAAGTTCAAGTTAAATTCCCTGCTTAACATCTTCCAACCATTCACTGATTCCCTCCAACTTAAAACTCCTCCCAGCCCAAAATTTTGCTCACCCCCTCCTGAAATCATCTTATTTGGCTCAGCATTAAATTGTTGCTGATGACATTTACGTAGAGAACTTTGTGATTTCCCTACTTTAAATCTGCTGTACAACTGCAAGACTAGATGATCTAGTGCAGATTCATAAGAGGTCCATGAGTGGAGAGAGAGCTTGTTAACTTACTTGGCTACTCAGCATAAATACTTTTTGTACTCATTTTGAAACCCAGCCCTAAAGAAGTCCAAAGCACACTTTGGGAGATGGGGATGGGGGCAATCCAAAACCATCATAATTAGAGTATTCTGTATTTAAAATAATCCAAACTTACTCTACAAGAGAGTTCCTATTTCCCCTCTGTCGCTCTGATAAACTTGCTCATCTCTGTCCATTAAACTCTGACAGGAGTGATCTCTCCCTCTTTAGCTGGGCTCTTCATCTCTCCTTTCTACCAATCAAGTGCAAGTGTGCCATGGAAATCTGCATGAGTTACAAAGTGTGATGAAATTTAGTGAATATGAGAAAAGGTTAAATAAGTTAGATTGACTTTTTGTGGACATGAAATGCCTTTGGAGCAACTGATTGGAAAATTGTGGTTGGAACTAAGGAAACAGATTACGCAAATGTTTCACTATACTGGAAGACTGAATACTACATACAGGAGAGTAAAAAAAAGGGAAAGATCAAGATGAAGTGAGGTGGAACTCACTCACATACAGAATAACGTGGCACAGTTATGATAATATTCTTTCAAGTGTACGATATAAATGGGATTAAAAGATGACTTGGCTAGGTGATGAAAAGAATGGATTGAGCGATACTGTGAAACATGGTTGATTTGTGGAAGAGGAACAGACTTGTTTGAGAAATGTGCTCACAATCCTAAGAAATATTCCATGTAATTCTCTTCATGTTGCATTTAAGGTTGGTGAGGCAATATGCAGATGAATTTTGAATTCTGCAGGATAAGGAACAGCTCCAATCCATTGGGAATTCATTATCTGAACTTAGGCCGTTGGGAACGGACAATGTCTCACTAACATTCCACGTGTCTTACACAATCTCATTTGGAAATTGGGAGACTTTTCCAAGTCTTTCCCTCACAGAGATTGCTTCATCTTTGAAGGAAACGGCTATTAAACCAATGGGTCAAGCAGAGGATCATGCCTTTTCCCAATGGGTTCAACAGCAGTTCCCCAAGCTCCTGCTCAAAATTGTTGGAAGTGCTGATAGAATTACTGCAATTTAGTGAATCAGTAGTTGTACTGGACTGTTGCCAGTTAGTAACCTCCGTCTTGCCTAATTTCAATCGTGATTCTCTCATCTAACAAAACTTCCAAATATATCTTGGTAACATGAAAGAGCTAGTACTCACTTCAGCAAGTCCATGAGGTGTCGAACAAAATCTCCTTGACCTAGTAGCAAGTAACGCCGCACAGCCTTAATGTGTTCCAGCAAGTGGTAATTCTGGTTGAGGACATCCAGCAAGTATTTGCTGGTTAAATGATAAGCTGAGTCAATTTTTTCTTGAAAAGCACCTTCCAAATCAGTGAACAACTCAGCAGCTAGAATGGAATTAACAAAACTAAAATAAAACCAAACATATCAGTGTACCTGACCTTTTATGTAATAACTTACTGCAATTTAATGGTTCAGTCAGTTGCATATAATCATTCACAACTTTTCAAGTCAAAGAATCTTAAAGCTAAAATAATGTTTGCATAAAAGTGCTATCTGATTAACTATTCACAAAGCAAATAGATAAGCCAGCTCCACTTACAAACCATGTGACTTAAGATTTAAACTATTTAATATGGATATCTTTAAGCTATTATTGATTGTTCAGGCAACAAATTCACATTATTTTGCATATCAATTAATAAGAGTTAGTGCTCTGGTTCAGAAAAAAAATCCATCAAATTACAGTGCTCTAGCACAACCAAAAACAAACCCATGAAGTGTGCACTTTCATCTTTCCTTCAATTTCTTCCACACTAACAAGTTCATTAGAAAGTAGCCTGAAAGGTAGGGTACTTTGAAAGCAATGAAGATTCATGTGAAATACAAGACTTTTACCATCTTTTGGTGAAACAGCAGATTTTGTCACAGCCATCATCATTTTTGCTGTTGGAGTTCGGTCCTGACACACTTGATGCAAGAAATTGATAGATTTTCCAATCAAAAGCACCTGGAGGCAGAAAGAAATAGAACTTTTGTTTTTAAAGACGTGAAAAGGAACAAAGATACCAACTTCTGCCAATCCTAGCTTAGTACAAGAGTACTGAGGCCAAATGGGTCTTTCCAGTGAGATCAATCACCTGCGTGCAGTTTGGGAAATCAGCATGGTGCAGGTGCTGGTCAGGGCCCACCAGTCCCTCAAAGTTGCCAAGGTCTTTTTCTCAGGGTAGGGGAGTCCAAAACTAGAGAGCACAGGCTCAAGGTGAGAAGGGAAAAATTTAAAAGGGACATGAGGGGCAACTTTTTCACACAGAGGGTGGAGCATGTATGGAACGAGCTATGAGACGAAGCTGTGGAGGTGGGTATAATTACAACATTTAAAAGGCATCTGGATGAGTACATGAATAGGAAGGGTTTAGAGGGATATGGGCCAAATGGGACTACATTAGTTTAGGATTTCTGGGTGGCATGGACAAGTTGGACTGAAGGGTCTGTTTCTGTGCTGCATATCTATGTTATCAAAAGCATTCTGGAATCAGTTGGAGAAACACAGAAACAAAGCAGAAATTGAGAGAAGGTTACTCGAACTAAATGTTAACTTTGCTTTCTCTTGACAAATGCTACGAGACCTGCTGAGTTTGTCCAGCAATTTCGGTTTTTGTTTCCGATTTCCAGCATCTGCAGTTCTTCAGGTCTTTTTTTGGAAAAGCACACATTCAGCTAGCCATTTAAAATTGTGCTCCAAAGCGTGGAATGAAACTGCAGTTGATTACCTACACTTAAAATAACAATTGTTTTACTAACCCCATTGTTTTACTTACCTAATACCCCTAAATAATTCCTTCACAAGGACCTACAGTTCACTAAAACTCATTATTAACTCTGAGAACATTGACCTTCTTTAGTCATTAATCAATAATGCACCTTATACATTGATGCAATCCTCATTTGCACACAAGATTGAAAACATTGCTTCTGCCTCCAGAGCCATTTAATGAAATGGGCTCCCAAATGTTCCCCGATTGCCACATGTTCAGGTTTAAAGGCTCATGCAATAGGTGGCATCTGTGACAATGCAACACTCCCTCAATACCATTGGTGCTGCTGCAACCAGAGTGAGGCATCAACAGAATTAAAGCCAGTGACAACAGCTTTAAATAAGTTAAATTCAAAATTCAGCATCATTTTAGGGAAGATCACTTGATAATTAATATTTTGGTACAGCTTAAACTGAAGTTGCAGAATAAAAACATTTCAGTGTGGTTGTAAAGGGGCCACACCACAACACAGAAAATTTATTTATAGGATATGCCAAGGTCACTATCCATTTCATATTTTTTGCTCATTCTTAACTGCCCTCAAGAACATTATGGTGACAACTGAGTAGTTTGTCTCGGTAGAAAATGGTCAATAACATTGCTCAAGAACAAAAACAGAAGTTGCTGGAAAAGCTCAGCAGGCCTAAGGAAAGGTCACCTGGCCCAAAATGTTAACTCTGATCTTTCTTCACAGATGCTGCCAGACCTGCTGAGCTTTTCCAGTAACTTTGTTTTTGTTCCTGATTTACAGCATCTGCAGTTCTTTTGGTTTTTATTCCATAATATTGCTGTTGTCATTGGCCAACAGTCACACAAAGGCTAGTCTGGGTAAGGATATTACTGAACCAGTTGGATTTTTATGACAATGCAGTAGATTTATAGTCAAGATGAGAGATATAGCTTTTTTAATTCTGAACTTATTTAATTGGCTGAATGTAAATTCCCCATTGCTGTGCAGGGATTTGAAAATATTTCTGGAGTATTAGTTCAGGTCTCTAGGTTATTAGCTGAGAAACTGGCTCATTGTTACTATGCCCATAGCTAAGTACCATACACTGGTTTACAAAATGGTTCGGAAATCATTTGATCCCAATAGGCACCTTATAAATTAGACTGATTTCAAGTTAAATATTTTGATAAAGATTCAAAAGTAACAGGGAAGGGCAGTAAAGGATGTGTTTTTATATAGTGCCCCAGCATACACTGAGCACACCAAAGTATTGGTACAGCCAACAAATCAAGGTTGAAGTGCAGTTACTCCTGTTTTTGATGCTATCCAGAAAAGCCGAAGTCTCACAACCATTAGCAGTTATTGGTGTTTGTTGCTAGGAAAATAATGGCCAACTAAGTGCAAAACTCCCTGTTCTACTTTCAAATATTCATTTATATCCACCTCAACATAGTCTAGGACAGGGCTGAACATTGTCCCCAGCTGGGAGGACAGCAGTGTCCGAAGCACCTGCACCATCAATGGCCTTATCAGTATTTGGTGTATGTAATTTTCCTGCCAAGATGCAGAAGTGTGTAAATGTCATGTAGAAATGAATCTCTGGCATCAAATTTTAGAACAATGCCCGAGAAATCACCTTTCTGGCCTTATCCATTGTGATGAAAGATGGTATCATTGACTTTCTCAGCGTATATTTGTCATGCCACAGTCTGTCAGTCTTCACCGTTGGATCGGAAGCTACAAAAAACTTCAAACAATAGTGAGGAGAAGGCATGACATACTTAGTAATAATAATAATAATTATTATTCTATATACAACAGTACAATATTCTGTTCACCACTGATACTTAGGCACTTTCACAAACTCGGTGGTAACTAAAGCTCTAATTTTACAATTATGCTTGTCACGGATGCTTGTTTAAACTTCTGATTATACCTTTTTAATTGGTAGGAAATTACACAAGGCAGCAATTTACTAAGATTCAAAATAAAGTGCTGAGGCAGTGAACGAATACAATTCGGTCAACCTCATTTTAAGGGCATGATTTAATTTTGTTCTAGCTTTATGGCTGAAACAAGGATGGATTGTGATACGTTCCCATCAACAGGAAGCGCTAATAAAAGCTGGTTAATACATTTAGAGTCGGTAGTGAAGAATTCAGTAGTTGCAGCCGAGCAAACGCAAACTTCTGACCTCATGGTTTTAGAATTTTGATTTTTATTTCTGTTAATTATTGTTATAAGTGGTGATTTGCATAATTACAGTATTCATTAAGTGCTCCCTTCACTGTAAATGTTACTCTATTCAATCAGCACTTGACTAAAAAATGAGCTTTATTCAATTTTACAGTAATGGATTCCAAAAAGCACAAAAAAACAATTAAATTGACAACAATGTAATGGTTTGGTGGCAAAAGGCCAAAGATGAGGCACAGTCCTAAAAATAAATAAGTTTCAAGGTTACCAAGAGCACAATTACAACTGCTGTGATGAGGAACAGCAAAACAGGAATCCATGGGATTAGACACGGATCACTACATATCTTTACTTGTACTTTAGTTTCACTTGCAACTTGGAATGTGGGCACTGACTAAGCCAGCAAATATTACCATCCCTAGTTGCCCTTGAAGTGATGCTGAGCTGCCTTCTTGAACCACAGTCTGTTTGGCGCAGGAAGACCCACAATTCCAGTAGGGAGGGAGTTCCAAGATTTTGACCTAATAATACTGAAGGAAAGGTCATATATTTCCAGGTCAGGACGATATGCTCCTAGGAGGGTAAGTTGCAGATGATTGTATTCCCACGTATCTGTTGCTCTTGTCCTTCTGGATGTAGTGGTTATGGGTTTGGTAGATGTAGTCGAAGGAGCATTGGTGAATTTTTGTGGTGCATCTTGTACACAGTACAAACTTTTGCTTCCGTCAATGATGGAAGGTATGAATGCTTTAGGAAATGGTGCCAATCAAGCAGGCTGTTTTGTCCTGAATGGGACCAAGGACTGCTGTGACTGCTCTGAATTGCCCACTCCACCTCTTTTCATCACATATGACTTGGACACCATTAACAGATCTGAGCTTTATATTAATTCCAACATAATCCAAAACAGGATTGCAGCCTCTCCTTGCAGTTATCTATGTGCAAACTTTGGATGTACGTGGAATAATAGGCAAGGACAAATACAACCAGCAGTCTCAGAAGCCTTGATTTAGGGTAGCACACTTATAGATGCAGTTCGCTACTGCAATACAGTGGTTACGGAATATAAATTACACAACACGGGTTAATAGCAATGCCAGAATTCTGGAATAATGAAGCATGACTTTTGTTTAAAAGACAGAAAGATTATGATAAAGTATATCACAAAATACCAGCGATGAGGAAATAGATTCAGTATATGGGGTAGTTATTAGTTTATAATTTTTGGAATTCAATCCTGCATGTACGCATTACTGCTAAGGTCAGCATTATTGCCCATCCCCAATTGCCCTTGAGAAAGCAGTGGTGAATTGCCTTCTTAAAATTCAGCAGTCCTGTGGGCAGCACGGTGGCTCAGAAGTTAGCACTGCTGCCACACAGCATCAGGGAATCAGGTTCAATTCCAGCTTTGAGTGGCTGTAAATGTTTGCACATTCTCTGTGTCTGTGTGTGTTTCCAACAGGCGGTTTGGTTTCTTCCCACAGTCCAAAGATATGCAGGAACAAAAACAGAAGGTGCTGGAAAAGCTCAGCAGGTCTGGCAGCATCTGCAAAGAAAAATTAGAGTTAATGTTTCAGGTCCAGTGACCCTTCCTCAGAAAGATATGCAAGTTAGGTGGATAGGTCATGGTAAATTGCCTCCTAGTGACCAGGGATGTGCAAGACAGTCAATCTGCATGTAGGTACAACCACAGTAGTGTTTTATGGTTTCAAGACAACAACAAGGGGATGTTTTAGAAGATTCTCACAGGAAGTTACATTTGCATTTCACTGCCCTCGTTTTGTGTAGTTTACTTTGTTTTTATTTATGTAGGCAATATGGTTACTGCATAGATTTTTACAAATTACTTTCTGTATCCAATGTTACTGTGTAAAAACCTGTGCCCTCCATCACCCAAAAGGACAAGGGGATCAGGTGCATGAAAAGCCTATTTTCTTCAGGTCATAGGTCCTCTTGACTTGGAAATATATTATTGTTCCTTCACCAACACCGAGTCAAAATTTTAGAACTTTAAGTAATATATCTGTGGGAGTACAAGACAGTGGATTAGCCATAGTAAATACAGGGCTAGAAGGATAGGGTGGTTATGGTCTTTGGAAGATTGGTGTCAATTCGAGGGGCCGAATGGCCTCTTTCTGCACTGCAGGGATTCTATGATTCCTTTGGTAGAAGTACTCCCACAGAGGGAGGCACACAAAATGAAAATAGTTTACCTCATGGTATGTATCCTCCAACTCTCCGTCATAAATCCAACGGTAAAGGAAGTTAAGGATGGGATGAGATACAAGGCTAAGAATGTGTTGCACCAGTGATCTCATGTATGGGTCCCCAGTTTTAGTGTAAGCATGGACAGCAGATGCCAACTCGCCACCTTTCCTCCCTGAGCAAACAAAACAGAAAAACACATTCCAAATTACAGAACCCTTTCAAAAATAAAAACAAGCTAAATTCCTTCAAAGTGTAAAATGTCCTTATCTAGAAAGCCCAGCATTGAAGGATAGAAGCAGAGACAGTATATACACAGTTATATAAGCTTTCATTTACAGAAATACACATCTCCCAACTTAATCACATTAGTTTCAGATTGTCCTGAGGGACACAAGTGAATCCCAAGTTAGTCTTCACCAGTTGCATAAAGTTAAACACAATTAATACATAGTTAAGAAAGGGATCCAAAATGTTGAACTTCACACTAATAAAGCTGACCTCACTTATTTCACATTTTTCTGGAATATTTTAACTCCTAAGAACTCAAAAAAGTACAAATTTGCAATAACAAACAAACCTGCAATTAACTCTTGTCAATCTTTCACTCTCTCAAACATTTCCACTTATGGATGCTTTCTCAAACAATATATTTTGTATCATTCATGGCCAGTCCATCCCAATATTAACACAACCTATGAATAAAAGTTGCAATCTCAGTTGGCTGTCTCTTTGCGACCCATTCATGCTCTCAGCCCACATTCCTGGTTTTAGAGTCTGTACCAATTACAAACATACCAGATTCCATTAATGTCTCTCACTCTCTTTAACCCTTCAATAATCTTGGCCCACCTGCACCCTTCACTCTGCCAGAGAAACAAGTTTTCCCAGCTTAGATTCCTTACATGAAGTATAAATTTGTTGCTCTTTTCTATACTGATTCCAGTGCCAGGACATCTTTGTTGCAGCACACTGAACAGAAATGTTCCCAGTGCTCTAATGTTGGGGTTCCAGGGGTCAGGCTACATCCAATGCTCCAACTGAGGCTGTCTAACTCATTATACCCTTTGAAGACCAGTGTTCTACTGATCTGACAATATATGCAAGGATACTGTTAGTTTTCATTGCGCTGTTATGCATTATACTACTAGTGACCCTGAACTTTACATCAGTAGCCCAGATCTCTCGCCCAGTGCTGTCCTTTAACTCACAGTTAATTGTGTTCTCTTTTGATTTCTCTGTTGCCAGTCTCACTACCCCATCAATACTAAATACCAGTTGCTGCAGATCAACTCACCTTCACAAGGTAACTGGTTCCTTCAGCTTCTGGATTGTCTGCTGTTTTATTGTATTACCTCTTCCTTTGCAACTTGTAACTGATTTCATATTTTGTCTTCAGCCTTAAACTATTTCTTGTATGCTATAAACAATAATCACCTCACCACTGGTCTCTTGGTCACCCACTAGCCATCTTTTAACCATTTTTATTCTGTTCCATTCATAACCATCCTTTTGGTGTAGCAACTTAGCAAATGTTAAATTCTCTTCAGGAGCTTAGCTCCAATTCTTGTAGAATAATTGATAATATGTCATTGTATCAAATGTTTTGCTGAAACATATTGCTTTGTAATCACAGGGAAATATTCAGATAAGCAAATAAAAATGAGTTTTTCACGAACATTAGCAAATAGATGAAATAAATGTTAAGACCCAATTTGGTTACTGGCTCTGTCTTCCAAATGGTTTCTTTTAAAAAGAGATAAACAAAGGAACATCTTATTTTAATTTGCAATTACAAAATGGTGCAGAAACCTTAAACATCCTGACTGACCCTGGCAATGATCAACAAGTGCTGCAAGTGTCTTCAGTCTCATCTTGGGATCATAAGTCCAAATCAGCAGGCGGCGGAGTGTTAGGTTACTTTCCAGACCAACATTTACACCTTGGTCATCTTCCACTTGTATCTGTGGGTTTCAGTTTGAAAGAAAATGGCAAATAAATTTCAACTACAAAATACATAAATTACAGGAACTCAACACATTCAATCCAGGACTCAGGAGAATTTATTTATCGTCTTCTCTACACACTTGCTGAGTTTGCCTTTCAATAAATATTAATAAATCCTAAATGCATTCTTCTAGTGCATCCAACTACTTGTTTCTTAACATCATAATCCCCTTCTGTCAAACCCAAGACATTGTCCCTGTTCATCTGCTTCCTTCCTTTCACACTACATAGGGTCAGCACAATGTTTGTTGATCACTTGTTATTTATATTCTTCAGATGGTTTTATAGCTGATGTCCCCTCCATCACTAATGCTAGGACTCAGGAACGGTGGTTCAAAGGAGCAGAGAAACCCTTGAAGCAGACAGAAAAATTTAAGTTCTCCTCAGAAACTCATCTCCATTCCAGGTAGGAAACTGGTAGGTATTATTCCCTTGGTTCTTGTGACTGGACATTGATTTAAGGTAAGGGCACAAGTGGAGCTTAAAAACATTACAAAGATAATTAGCATTTTAGAACTTGAATTGAAAGAATTTGTCCACATTCTGTTGAGTTAAAACAGGTCTGGGAAGCTCACGGCCATGATTGGCACACCCCGCTCTATATGGAGAAATTCTAGATTCATTGGGTGGTGTGGATGACCATGTGTGCAGGAGGTGCCTCTGCAAGTGTTAGGGACTCATTAGTGCGGGGTTAAAAAATTGGCTTAACAGCAAGACATAGACAGTGGGTATAATGGGCATGTTCCCTAAAAGGTGGTGACTAGTAGTGTCACACAAGAATCTTTCAAAATACATGATCCATTCAATTAGATATTTGTGAAAACTTTATGCCAAAACTGTAATTGCCCTCAAACATTTTATGAGCCCAAGGCATACAAGGTTTGATCATTATCCTCAAAGCTGAATGATTCTTCAGATATCTCACATGTTGACTCCTGGGCACGATTCAAGAAAAAAAAAAACTGTCGTTTGCAATGAAGGCTCTATCTCCTTCCTGTTAAATCACTTAAAATCAAAACTTCTAACCCATATTTCAATCATTTTTTTCCAGAAGTTCAATTACTTATATTTTTCCTCCTGTTCTCTAGTCAGCTTTTTCAAAGTCCAATGAGTATTTTCAAATTCTGACAGTTTTCTGCAACACAATCCACAATTTTCATCCTCTCAAACTCAAATTGTTCCCTAAAAAAAAAGTAGATAGGTGGATGAAATCCAGTTTGAATATTTATTTCTGCCATCCTTCACACCAGCAGATTAATATTCTGGCTTTCTCAAAGAGCTTTCATCCAAAAATAACTAATAAAATTTTGACTCTAAGCCTGGGGACATTTTACTATGTTAAAGATAGAATGTAAATTCAGGTTATTGTCAAAAAATCTGACAGACTTCCAACAAGAAAATTCAACATGTAAAAGCAGAGCAAAGGCTGCATTATTAACCTGTAACCTTCAATGTCTTACAAGGGATTTGAGCTATCAATAGATCAAATTGCAAAACAAAATGAGGAAAATATCCTTCTATAAATTCAACCAGAACTGTTAATCTACAAATAAAACATGGAAACAGTTAATGGAATTATATTGTGGTTATTTGTCAGCCACAGACTAACCATTACTGTCTTATAAGTAACTACCATGGGCTTAAACCTTGAAAATGCATTTGTGACTTACTGCATCTTTAATCCATTTCCATTCTAATTATAAATATTTGATGTTTCAAACTGTTCTGTTATATCAAGACATTATTCTACTTTTTCCACTGTACAACATGTAACTCTTGTCCTCTAAACACTGAGTGCCAGAATCTACTGGTAGTAAAGGACCTTTTGCGGGGAGGTCTTCAATAGCAATGAAAAGGCAGGCAAAGTAAAAAGCAAACTGCATAGGTTATAAGGTGTCTGTTCTGTGGCAAATGGCAACTAATGTGGGGAAAATGCACAATAAACCCAGGTAAGGAAATATCATACACAGCAGTGCTTAATTTGATCTTCAAGCCTCAAATTCTCCTTCCATAAATGGCAGCCAACTTATCTGTTGAGTACAAAATCTGAACTGCTGGTGTTAGTGTAGGTGATCGCCACTTTGAAATGTGAAGAGAAAATAATACTGGAAATTCAAATTAAATAAATGATGAGTTTTAATGAATAAATAATTGTACAATCAAAATACTTTTAAAAAACCAAACTAATCATCTGACACAGCACTCAAATTCATTCTGAATCACTTAACTATAGCATTGTTATTAGAATCCCACTGTGGATCAGATTTGGCAACTTCACTTACAAAATCATCTCTTCACAACAAATCATCTTCCAAACCATCCACCAACTTGGATAACCTACATTTTGAGCAATTTGATGCCAATACTAGCAGCTTATGACTTGATGGTAAAATCACAGAAAACATCAAGTGGGGCAACACATTATATTTTCCTTCGTGAAGGTTTTTATTCTCCATTAAGCATTTGCATCAAATGGCATGGGTGGACATGAACTTTAAAAGACTCGCTGAGGCACACTTAAAGATTAAACTGTTGAAGTCAGACCCACTTATTTAACAGCAATTTGGGTGTTTTCTCCACAGATGCCTTTTGATTTCATTAAGTGAATGGGACCTGAACATTGTCTACAGTAATACTCTGTGGTTTACTACTACTTCTTCCAATGTAGTACATTTATTCATTGCTTGTGGTCTCTTCTACGTTGGATAGACCAAATGCAGTCCAAGTGACTGTTTTATGCAATACATTTGTTTAGTCCATGACCAAGACCATAAGTGTCCTGGCACTTGTCATTTTAATATTTGACTTTGCTGATTTAATATTTGACTGATTGATAATTCTGTCCGCGGCCTACTATTGTTTCAATAAAGCTCAACGCAAGCCTGAAGAGCAGCACCTTTTCTGTCTCATCAGTCTACAGACTTTCAATTCCATGTTATGCTCAACAAGTATACATTAGAACACGTGCTTCTATCTTGTACTGTGTTTTTTTTTGCTACTTGTTCCTTTCTTTATCCCTTCATGTTACATTCATGTTATGTAGCTGTCATCCCTCATTTGGAAATGACTTTTTTTTTTAATTGATCCATTACCACTCATTGGGCTTTCATTTCAGAATTTTGTGATTCCATCTATCATTTACTTCACTCCGCTCCATAACAGATGTCCCCTCACACTGGTTTAAAAACCCTGTCATTTGGGGAAGCTATGGCCTAGTGATATTATCGCTGGACTGTTAATCCAGAGACACAGATAATGTTCTCGGGACCCAGGTTTGAATCCTGCCACAGCAAATGTGGAATTTGAATTCAATAAATATCTGGAATTACAGTCTAATGACGACCATAAATCCATTGCTGATTGACGAGAAAAACCCATCTGGGTTACTAATGTCCTTCAGGGAAGGAAACTGCCATGCCTACCTGGTCTGGCCACATGTGACTCCTGACCCACAGCAATGTGGTTGACTCTCAACTGCCCTCTGGGCAATAAATGCTAACAGTCCAGAGACGTCCTCATCCCATGAATAAATAAAGAAAAATTTCCATTTTTCCTTAAATCTGATGAAAGGTCAATCTGAAATGTCTACTCTGCTTCTCTTGAAGATGCTGACTGATCTGTTGAGTATTTCCAGATATTTTTTCTCCTGATTAATGAAGCCGTATTCTTTGAACAGGCCATCAGGATATAGACTTCCCATACCTCCGATTGACAAATTCACTTTACCTTCATCCGTCCAATCATTATAGACATGCACAAAATTACAGGGAATTTGATTTTTGGCATGGTTTTACTTTTGAAAATCACCACAGGGTTTAATTTCATTCCATCAGCCTTTCAGGCTGGTATCACCCTGTCTAACCTTCTGTAGTTTACACTGGAACTGTTTTTGAACTTTCCAATTCCACAGTTTGGCTGCTGGATGTATCAAAATTCATGCATGTTTCATACAGGTTGCCACTATATCATTGTGGCACTCATGCTCTGGCCACTGTCAGATGAAGAAACAGATCTGACATCGAAACCTTTTGATAGTCTCTGAGCAATTTTAGTCTTTTGCTGCCACGTTCATTCTGCAAAGCAGCTACACCAAATAGCTGTTGCACAGAAACAGGCCTGGTTTGATTCGGCTTATGCCTGGTGCATTTTTTATGCCTGTATAACCGTTCTGATCATTTGAGGGCTAATACATGCTTCTCAAGTCAGGCCAATGGAGAAGTCCCTGTTCTCATGATACAGCTAAGTCTTGGGCATCTTCAGGGTGGATTTTTCTTCTACCATTCTCACACCATATTTTCACTAACAGCACATGTTCTCATTGGAACAGTTATTTGACAGCAAATAGCAAGTTCTTGTAAGAGTACAGCTAAGTCTTTCTGAACATGATCATTTATAAGTTTCACGCCTTTTAAAAAAAGATTCAGCTTGTCTACTCCTACCACATTTCTCCCCAGTATACACCATCTGTCTCCTTGTGCCCACTCAATCTGTCCAAATCTTTATGCAGTCTCTTTGAAGCCTCTTCCAACTTCCACCCACACCTAGCTTTGTATCCGCACCAAACCTAGACATTTCTCTCAGTCTCTTCATTTAATTCATGAATGTAGACAGCAAGTAGAAGAAACCCCAGCACTGATCCTTGTGGTATTCTACTTGTCACAGCATGCCTACCTGAAAATGCCTCATTTATTCCTACTCTCTGCTTCCCAGCCATGCTATTATCTCACTCCAAACTCCTCAGCCTTTATCTTCTATATTAACCGTTCATGGTGAATTATTAAATACTTTTTCTTGAAATCCAGGTATACTGCTGGTTTCCCTTTATCTCTCCTACTAGCTGAATCTTCAAATAACTCAATTTATTGAATAAGATTTCCTTTACATGAATCATGTTGACTTGTAATTATATTACAGCTGGTCTAAGAGTATCATCAGGATTTTCTTAACAAGGTTCCAGCATTTTCTGGACAATGGACATCAGGGTAATTGGTCTATAATTCACCATTATCCCTCTTTCCCCTTTCTTGCCAACTTCCAATCTGTTGTGACTACTCTAGAATCGAGGAAATATTGCAATTCATGATCAGTGTATTACCCACTACTTTAGATATAGGTCACCTGGTCCTAAGAATTTGTATTTTAGTTCCTTAAAGCTCTCCAGTACTTCCTCTCTGTTAATATTACTTTCCTCAGTCATATTAACACCTAAGTTATCATCCATTCCTGCTGTGTAACTTATGTCTTCACAGTAGAAGAGACACACAAAATGCTGCAACTCTCTCCATGTAACATCACTTGGATTTACCCAAGATAAACAGACTGCAGCAGTTCAAGAAGATAGCTCATCACCACTTTCTCAAGGGTAACTAGGAACTAGGGATGGGCAATCAATGCTGGCCCAGTCAGTAATGCCCACATTTCATGAATAATAAAGAGAGTTGACATAGTAGGTAACGTGCAGGGAGTGGAAATAGGCAAAAACAAAAAATTGGCATGGGGTATGTGGGGCCAAGCAGCTGGGTTCAGGGCATGGGTTGGAATGAATGGAATGAAAAGGGAGTGTATGGAGGTGAGCAGGAGTGAGTGCTAAAGGAATATTTTATTTTGTATTCTTTTATTTTTGATCATAGAACTGGAGCCCTCAGGCCGGCTTTCCACCTATCCTGTCTTGGTATATGGAAGCCTCCTGAGCTCTGCCTGGCACAATTCCAAATACAGTCCAGTCCTTGGACCATAAGCGGGGTGACACGTCAGCCATATTTCAGGACCAAAGTTGTGGAGCTGGAAATCTTCCTGTCTCTGCGTACCTAACCTGGGAATAAATGTTGGGGCCTAACTTTATTCTCCACTGCAAGGGGGCTCAAACTCAGTTTGGAATTGGAGGTAAAAAGAAGCCATAAGATTTGAATCTAGAAGGAAAAGAAAAACCTACAGTGGTCATCATATTGAAAGGAAGTTAGCTGTCAGCTTAGAAAGAGCTGTACAGAAGCTGTGCGAACAGACTAGTAAAGTGGTCTTTGCATGCCAAAGGCAGGACAAGTAGCTGAAGAGTCTGCAGTCATGAGGTTGTCAAAGAAACTGTGGACGGTTGCATGGTTAAAAGTTAATAGAAGGATCCCAACATTTCTTGTAACTTGGAGAGTAATTGGGACACTGAAGGTAATTCACAGTGAATTCGAGGAGTACGGGTTGGTTCCAAATAACTGAATAGACTTTCATGATTCTTGTAAAATTTACAGAGATATGTGGGAACTCTTTTTGGATGTAGGAGTAAAAGTAGAACGGAATTTATAACACAATACTTTGGAAAGACTTGTGCTAAGTTGTGGCAGCTGGTCTGCTTCATTTCTCTTTATCTACAGTAAAGTTTGATTTTATTTAAAAATGTGAAATTTTGTGGTGCAATTTTTTTCAGTTAATTACAGGGTGTTCAGCTTTCTCCATTAATATGCCTGTCTCTAAACCAATTCTAACAATAGTAAGGTTAACAATTCTGTACCACTAACATGATCACTTTCACAGAAGGAAAATACTTTCAATTTACAGAATATGTATAGACAAGACAGTCTAACAAGGAAATACACAGACAGAATAGACATTGAGATAGTAAAGTTTGAAATTTAAATGACAGGTAGTGAAATAGAAATCTACCCAACCAGGGCTGCTGGACACATTTACTGCCATATAGATAAGGAAGTCTTGTAGCCAGCAGAAAAACACAGAACCGATCAGCCCAAACGTTAAGACGCAACTCGGAGGTATGAGTATCTGTGAAGTGTTAGAGAAGTAATGTACTTTCTTTTTTACCTGGGAATGCAAAACAGACAATAATCTGTAATATTCCTTCAACTCCTGATGCAAGGAAGCACAAAAGCTCTGTAGGAATAAGAATTTGAATAAAAAGCTGAAAACAATAAAAATTATTTTTTCATAATTTTACAGTGCACATTAGTTTACTAATTAGTTATGGTAAATATTTAAGCATGTCAGGACGAATGTTAAAAAGGTCTAAAAATATTCAAAATTACAGATAGAAAGAATGCTGATTGTTTCAGAATTATTCGTTTGTTCCACTCCAAACAAACTGACAATCAAAAAATGCCACGTATGCCAAACAGGCAAGACACTAAAACCGAACAAGTGGAACATTTAAAATAGATCTCAAAGAATTTATTTTATGAGTGAATAGCATACCATCTATGGGAATTCCTTTCCAACAGATGCCAAACTGGGGATTGAAGATGAACAGAACTTGGCAAAGGCCTTGAAACTTTGACAAGGTGAGCAAAGCTCTTTGCACCTCATGGATAAATTTTGTCGGTTAATCCTCAACCTTCCCCAGTGTTTACTTCCATGTGTCTGTTCAGAGGTACAGACGCTGCAAGATGAATGCAACATACCTGACCCACTAGACCAAAGGCACGGTCCAAGCATCTCTGGTCGGTGTACTTTCTTATTTTGTTGTGAAGCCATCCAAGTTCTGCTAACCTACTTGCAGTATCCCTCAAAGATTTCGACAGTCCCATCTGTACAAAACCAAAAAGAAATTTTGTGTGTTGATAGACCACAGTGCAATTTTGGAAGCAAAAAATATCTGGCTGCTTCTCAAAACTTCCTCCTGAATGGCCACCAGTACATTTCAAAGTAAGTTGCATATGAAGAGGTTTTATCATTTTTTTAAAAAAATGTTCCTTATAGTACAGTTGCCAGTAGCTTAAAGCAACATTTTTTTTTAAGAAAAGATGAAGGGGAGAGACTAAATTGAAAGAAAAAGGCCTAAAAGACATAAGAACAGAGGTAGGCATTTCTGCCCATCAGGTCTGTTCCATCATTCAATGAGATTATGAGCGACCTGATAATCCTCAATTCCACTTTCCTGCCTTTTCCCCATAACCCTTGATTCTGTTACGGATTTAAAATCTGCCTGACTCAGCCTTGAACGTTGTCAACAACCTAACCTCGACAGCCCTCTCGGGGGTGGGTTAAAGAATTCCACAGATTCACTATCCAGAGAATAAATTCCTCCTGATCACTGTTTTAGGTTGTTAATATCCTGGAAATTTAGAGCAGTATTAGTGGACTTTCTCTACTAGAATTTCTGTATGTTTTCATACATTTTAAACAAATCTCAAGCCAAAGCATGGATGAAAGGCAGAAAGGAAATATATCATTGCCTCTAGTTGTAGATTATTTATATGCAACAATTAACTGGTTGGATTCCTGAGCTAATTCTTTGGTAATTGATAAAGAAAGCAGACTAATAATGCTCGATATTTCCAGATTATTGACACCCATATTCAGAGAAAATGACATCTCTCCCAATTCAGACAATGATTCTCAGCACTCCAATAAATGTCTCCTCAGAACTTCATTGAATGCTACATTTGGTTCATCAATGGATAGAAGAATGAAAAAAAAAAGTGGCTGAAAATATAAATGCTAAATATCATGCAAGAATGTATATTTACACCAAATATTCAATTAAGATCAGTTACCTTGGAATCAATTTTATAGCAGTTTTCAGAATTACACATTTTAATGGATTTGCCATCAATTCCTTGGAGGACATATAGAATATCTCTGACTAGTGCTGCCTCTGTCACTTCTGAAGATGCTGAAAAACATGACAGACCAGGACTGAGATTTCATGCAATTCTCTTTAAGCAGGCTGCATTTATAGTTAAATCCCAGGGCAGAGTGATGATGGCCTCAGTAAGGTTCAGCAAAGTAACATATCTTTCAGCATGACACATTCAGCCTGGGGTAATCCTCATGATGAATTTCAATAAGGTGAGTTTAACAAGGAACATCAACTGCCAAGACATGGTAGACAGCAGTAAACACCTGCGAATTGCACACATGGGATGTATCACAAATACCTGGCTAGAATACCCCAGCAAGGCTATGAACACTGCTTCCCTGGTTCTCTACAAAAGTGTCAGCATGGTTCAGTGGCAGTGTTCTTGCCAGAGCCAATGCAGGATTCAGCAATTAAAAATCAAGGCTGAGCTTGCATTCAGTACAAAGGAAGTGCCACACTGTTGAAGATGCCAGCTTTGAGATGAAACATGGAACAAAAATCCCATCTACCCTCTCAGATGAACATAAAGCACGCCATGGCACCAATTCAAAGGACAGCTGGGGTTTTCTCTCATCATCCTGACCAATATCTACACATTAACTAACATCACAAAAACAGACAATACAGCTATTTTCTCAATGTCACTTGCATGAGCTTGCTGTGTGCAAACTGGCTACAGCATTTTCTACATTATAGCAGCTGATGAGATACCAAAAGTAATTAATTGGCTATTGCATTCATTCATTGGGTCTCAACTTCCTAATAGCTCACAGAAGTTATTTATTTAATTGAAGGGGTATGTGCCAATTACAGAACAATAGGACCACAACATATAGTCAAATAGACAAGTTGTCAAATAGCTGTCGACATTTCAAATATGTGGAAAGCATCATGTGATTCAGGGCAAATAACCTGGAACAAAGCTATTCTTCCACTGTGCGTTTTGGGCCACAACGACCAGGTTCATTATCAACATTGCCAGTAGGAACTTAATAAAAACAGAAAATGCTGGAGAAATTCAACAGGTTTGGCAGCATCTGTGGAGACAAACAGAGTTAACTTTATTATCAAGTATGGCTGTGCATTCTGAAGAGGAGTGATACTGGACTCAAGACATAAACACTGTTTTTCTGCCTGAAGATGCTGCCAGACTTGCTGAGCTTCTCCAGCATGTTGTTTTTATTTCAGATTTGCAACATCCACAGTTTATTGCTTTTATACGAGCAATACGGTAACCACTAAAAGGTAAAGAAAGGATTTTCCACAGTGCTTGACAGCACATGAAGTACTTTAAAGAGATGTCATATTGTTGTAATACAATTTGCACACAGCAAGGTTCCACAAACACTAACGTGTAATAAGATGATAATCAGGATAACTGTTCTGAAAACCTCTTCCCATGCTGAGGTGCTGGCTCTTGACCAGCAAATTAAGAATCTACTGAATACTCACATCCATGTTCTCCTTCACGTCTCATTCTTGAAATATTGCGGGGGATGGAGCTTGGAAGGCCCTTTGAGGTAGATAATGGAGGTTGAGCAGCAGATAAAGCCCATGCAAACCTTGAACCTAACTGCTGTCTCACTGTATCTGCCGTTCCTGTAGTTTGGTATGTTTGTCTGATTAAAATACAAGCACCCTCATTAGAAGTTACCTTTTACAGGATTTTTTGCAATTTAAAACCCATTACTTATTTGTGCAGTTCAGTATCACTGAAGCTACAGAAGAACTGCTTGGGCTTTTGACCACACATACTGACACCAGATTTTGAAAGGTGTGCGTTGGGAAGCTTTCAGAGAGACAGAGGGGCAGGATTTGCAGTAAGGAGAGCATCATCACTCAAAAGCAAAGATGGGAAGACATTAGAATGGATGCAGAGAAGATTTACAAAAAATGCTTCCAAAAATATAGGATTTTAGCTATAAAGGCATATTGGAGAAAATAAAACTGTCCACTCAGGAGGGGGAGAAGAACAGTTTGGGTGGACTGGTCCAAAATCAAGAAGGGTCCAGATGGAGTACCTAGGACTGTTTTCACTGATTGAAGAATCAAGAGCCAAAGGATAACAATTTAAAGGCAAATGGTGAATGACCCAAACGTTTCATGGGGAAAAAGGTATTACACTGCAAGTAATTGTGATCTGGAATACACTGCCTGAGAATGTGGCGAAGGAGATTTAACTGTGGCTTTCAAAAGGTCCTTGGAAAATTATCTGAAGAGAAAGAAAAAGTGCAGGGCTAAGGGAAAATTTGGGGGAAGAGGGACAAGCTGAATTGCTCTTATACAGAGCCAGTACAGCCAAGATGCGTTAAATGGCTACCTTCTGTGCTGCAAGTATTCTATACCCTTTCCATCTGATTGATATGATCCAGGTATCCACTGAAATATTGACTGTTGATGTATTCTCTCTATCTCAAACTCTACTTCATTTTAAACACACACACAGACACACACTTTTCAAGCACCTCTACTTAACTGCACAAATCGACAAGTGTTACAAAGTTGTGCAAGAGTACTCGTGAAATGGAAAGCAGGAAGCTAGAATTTATTTGTAAAAATGATAGGGGAGAAGAGTGTGTGGTTCCCTTAAGAGGTTAAGTGCTTTTCTAAGCTTGGAGATTTACACAGATAGTGTGTCTGTAAGCAGCTGAATGGATACAGCCAGTTCTGAAATTGAAACATGTATCAATTGGCTGTGAGATTGGAAACCTTAGGCTTGTTTTGAAGTTTTGACAACTAGCTGGAATCAGCCAGTTAATTTAAACCAAGCACTTAGTGAATGAAAGCCAATTGAATTTAAACCTGAGATAGTAGGAACTGCAGATGCTGGAGAATCGGAGACAACAAGGTGCAGTGCTGGATGAACACAGCAGGCCAAGCAGCATCATAGGAGCAGACTGTCCTATGATGCTGCTTGGCCCGCTGTGCTCATTCAGCTCTGCACCTTGTTGTCTTGAATTTAAACCTGATGGTTTTGCCAACCTTGGACCGATGCTATTGTAAGAAAATTGACACGTCATTTCCGGCATATAGGGAGAGGGTTTTTGAAAAAAAAAAAAAAAAAGGGGAGAGAACCGCCATCTGAGAAATTAGCATCTAGCTCTCACAAGAAATCACTAAGCTCTCTAAGAAAGCACCATCTTATCCATAAAAGGTACCACAGCACTTCTAGCTAAGAATCCTCACAGAAGACTTCACAGAGAAAACGTCCCTGACAGCCGGATCAGTGGAAGAAAGGCGTTTATGACTCAAGAACAGAAGAAAGGCATGTAGACTTTGAGAGATTAAATTTTAATTTATTTTCTTATTACTTCGCTTTGTATAAGTGTGTTTATTGGAACAGCATACCAGGAGAGTTTAGTTCAGTTAGGGAATACTTAGTAGTTAAGAGGGAAGTGTTCGGTTTATTAGTAATTCTGTTAATTTGTTCACTGGGTTAAATAAATAAATTATTACTGATTACTTATAAAGTGAATATCAGGGATTTTCTTTCATTTAACCAGGCTTTTTAACTGATTAGAATGGCAAGGCGAGCTTCTCTGGGTGTTTTGGGTTTAATTAATAGAAAAAAACCTCCACTCCCGCCATAACAGATTGGGGGCTTGTGTTTCGGTTTAATTATCAGAGGGGTTCAAATCCTCTCTGTAACACAACAGTTGAAGGAGGAGAATTCAGTAGAAAAGAAGAAGAATCAAAGAAAAATGTCACTAAAAATCCTAAATCAGAAGTTTGGAAAATGTCTCTAACAGTTTTTTTGTTAACACTGATTACTGATTATTGTTCATTTTCCCAGAAGGAAAGCATAAGCAAGAACCTAAACTGGAATATTATTTGAAAGAATTAGGAATCATCAAGACTGCTAGCATATGGAATGTGTAGGTGTATCAGAAGCCACCATAGGGACCAAACAGTTTGTCCAATTTAGAAGTTAACTTTCCAATTGTGCCAAAAATGAACACGTTTTGAGGATTTCTTTAGCCCGAGTTGAGGGAGGGTTTCTGAAGTTTGCAACTACTTATTCAGCTTATGAAAGTATTGCCTGTCATAGCTAGCCTTACTTTGCACAACTAACCCACCCAATCTCATAGCCTCCAATACAAGATGAAGCAGTCAAAGCTCAGAGATCTAACTCCACCTTTGTAAAGGTTAAAAAAAAAATCAAGAAAACAAGTGTTTCTTTTTTGATGACATTAGATGATGTATAACTCATCTATAACAGCCATCACATCCCATAATAAGGTGGATAAGAAAAACATTCAATCGGGAATTCACAAGCTTAGTACTTCGTGTTCTTGGTCAGCAATTAAAATCCTGCAATGGGCCCTGGAAAAACTCCAAACAGCAGCTCTCTCTTGATGAGGGCACTGCAAACCCAAGTCACAACTAGTCTATACAAAGTCCTTGTCACTGCATTGGAAATTATTGCATTATCATCCTTAAAGATTTTGCATTCATATTTTACTCTAACTTACAGATCAGAAGGTTACTTACCCAGGTAATAAAGACTGAGGAGTTGGGGTTGGTCCATTTAAGCCATACACACTAAGACTACCAACGCCACTGCTTCCAATGCTGCCGGCACTCTGAGATGAGGGAGCTCTATCAGGATAAGACAGTGGCAGACTCTGGGGTCTTGAGTAATAATAAGGGGTAGAATGAGCATCTCTTGGCAATGCTTGAGCAAATAATGCTGCATAATTAGCAACCTGAAAAATAATAATCATCAAGCCTTAGACAAGATGGTAATAGCATAACAAAATGCCAATATAAAATTCAAATTGATCATAGCTTCCAGAGAACATTAATTATCTCATTGCAGTAAATGTATGTACAATCGTACCGGATATAGGAAGTGTATTATGGATTCACCGGTGGTACTTTAAACTTTAAAACCTGCGATATGGAACAGAGACTTTGATTATAAGTTCCAGATACAAAGAGAATTTCAACAGCATTGGGAGCCGTGGTGTAGAGTTCATCAATGCCAATCAGGTCACTACATCAGGACAAATTCAATACCAAACGTCTGGTCCCAGACCTTTCTTCTCAGCAGTTCAAACATAAGTCAAAGAAAAAGAGTGAGTAGATCTGTACATGCTGTATATAGTCTTAAATGAACAGGGAGATTATGTTGGAACTGTATTATAATTGGTTAGGTCACGGCAAGATATGGTGTGCAGTATTGTTAAAGGGCGGATGTGACAGCTCTGGAGAAGAGATGTTGCCTGGGCTGGAGAGTTTCAGTTAAGTAGAGATTGGAAAGACTGGGGTTGCTTTGCTTAGAGCAGAGGACATCAAGAGGGGACATGATTGAGATGTATAAAATTATGAGGGGCATACATACAGCAGTGAAGAAGAAACTTTTCACTTTGATGGAGGGCTCAGTGATCAGGGACATAAATTTAAGTTGAGGAACACAGGTTTAGAGATGTGGGGATTCGCTCTCTCACCCAGAGGGTGGTGGGAATCTGGAACTCACTGCTGTAAGTGTAGTAGAGGCAGAAACTGCTATACTATTTAAGAAGCATTTAGATGTGGACTTGAGATGCTAAGGCACACAAGGATACGGTCCAGGAGCTGGAAAATGGGATAACAGGTAGGTAGCTGTTTTTGACTGGTGCAGAGACGACAGCTGAAGGGTCTCTGTGCCGTAGATCTCTATGATGATGACTAAAATAGATAAACTGCTATCTCCATATATTGAGACATTATCACAGAAAAAAAACTTCAATGTATTAGGATTCAACAAATAGGATTCTGCTTTTTAACTCTTCGATACTGACCTCCCACCTTCTCAGATGACATCCACTTATGACAGCTATAGTACCATCCTACCTTAAATGTTGTGATAGCTGCCTCATCTGCCTCTCTCAGAAAGTAGAACCACTAATGAAATTTGGCTGGACCAACAGTAGTGGAAAGTCTGTTCAGTTCTTTTCTCAACCTTTAATATAGCGGACCCACCAACAACCAATTGTGACCAAACTACAGAATTCTATTTTATTGAAGTTACTTCCCTGTCATCATATTGGGATTGTGATTGCAGCGCAGCATACTTAAATCATTCAGTGGCCTAGCCATGAACATACATAAGTAGCTGCAGATTCACAGCTAACAATAACAAGGCGTTTATATCATAGACAAATAACATGAATATATAAATACATATTTGATTGAAAGATGCTCAAAAAGCGGAGTATCTAGATAAAAGAATATCTTCATCGTCTCTGTTCTTAATAGTTGTTTGGGTGATCTGACAGGTCTGTGCCAATGTTTATGTATCATACAAGTGTTCTTCCTCCCACTCAATCAGTACACACGTTTATTTATTCTTCCAAGATGCACTTATCTAGCTTTCCCTTAAACAATTTATATTTTTACAATGCATTTAATGTGATGGGATGCCCAAATGTGCTATATGTTAGAGCATTATAAAACAAGACAAAGCACTGACCCACATAAGGAGGTATTAGGATGGATGACCTAGAACTTGGCCAAAGTTGGTAGTTTCACAGAATGTCTTAAAGAAAAAAAGCAAGGTCAAGAAGCTGAGGGGTATCGGGAGGTCTGGATGGTTTCGAAAACAAGGAAGGAAATTTTAAATTGCTTGATCAGGACTTGCTGTGAGCTAAGATACTGGCAACAGAGCTGGCAAAGACCCTAAGTTTACACAGGATGTAACAAGGGAGGCATGATCCCAGGTGTCTGTTAAAACAGTCGAGATGAGACATAACTAATGCATGATGAAGACTTCAGTGGCAGATGAACTGGGATGCTGCAAAGTTATGGAGATGGAAAAAGGTGGTCTTAGTGATGGTGCGTATAGGAAGTCGGAAGCTCATCTTGAAATTAAGTCTGATTCTATGGTTGTGAACAGAATGGCTTACAATCACATTATTGGTAGTGACAGGAATGGAGATGGTCTCTCGGAGTTTTGGGATCAAAAACAATAGGTTCACTCCTCCCAATTCTATAATTGAAGAAAATCTCTGGATGTGGGAATAAATAGTCTGGTAACTTCGCAAAAGTAAGGTAAAGTCACTATTGTTTTACCAGACCATAGCGCAGCAGTCTCAGAGACAGAGAGAGACTCCTTCATGGAAACCTCAGCCGGTGTGGGAATGAAACACATGCTGTTGGAAACATTCTGCATTACAAACCAGCCATCCAGTGAGTTGTGCTAATGCTTTATATAACACTTCATTATAGCTCATGAAGTTCAAGCAACTTGGATAAACAAGAACCTGTAGATGTGCTGTATTTGGATTTAGAGAAGGCACTTGACAATGTTATTATACAAAACAAGAGCTTAAAATGTGGGGCTAATATGGTAGCTTTGATACAGGATTACAATCTGCCCAAGATCTAGGGGAAGCGATGGCCCAGTGGTATTATCGCTGGACTGTTAATCCAAACACCCAGATAACATGCTGGGACCCGGGTTCAAATCCCACCATGGCATAAGGTCGAATTTGATTTCAATAAATGTCTGGGATTAAGAAACTAACGATGACCATGAATCCATTGTCGATTGTTGGAAAAAACCCATCTGGTTCACGAATGCCTCTTAGGGAAGGAAACTGCCATCCTTACCTGGTCTGGCCTACATGTGACTCCAGCCCCACAGCAATATGGTTGACTCTCGACCACCCTCTGGGCAATTAGGGATGGGCAATAAATGCTGCCTAGCCAGTGATGCCCTCATCCCATTAATGAATAAAGGAAGTTTTGGAAAATTAAAACCAATGCATCAACTATCTTGGCAGCTGTTTCTTTTAGGAGCTGAGTCCCATCAGGATGTGAAGACTTTGCTAATTTCTACAGGATTGGTTACCTAACAGGAAATAACAGTTAAGTCATGTTCCAGCGAGAAAGAAAAACTCTAGGGGTAAAACATAACTTCCTTAACTAGTACAAATGGCAAAGATAGTATCAATTTTTTTTAAAAAGTGTGTACAATTCAGCGAGGGTTATAGCAGATTTGGACAAAATATATTTTTTTAAAAAAAAAAGCAAAAACAAAACACTGGGAAATAATGGGTAAAATCAGTATGTGAGAGAAGCCTGTCTAAAAACAAAAAAAGATGTTAGACCTATCAGGACAGTCTGGGACTTCTTGTAGAAATGAGCAGCTTGAGGAGTGGTCTGACAGAAGTTTTCATGGTCATGGAAAGGTCTGACTGGATAGACAGAGGACGATCAAACAGGTCATAATAGGACTAGAAGTCACCTATGAGGTGGTCACTAATACAACCAATAGCATGTTCATGAACAGAATAGTCAGCAAATGAAATGTCCTATTGCAAGCAAAATTTGAGGCAAACAACATAGATGCATTTAACTAAGCATATGAGAAAGAATGCATACATTGGTGGGCTTAAAGATGAAGAAGAATGGTCTGGGGCATTAAGCACAGTATAAGTCAGTTGAGCAGAATGACTAGTCTATACAGTAAATATCGAGCAACTGTGCAACAATCAGATATTGCAATCAACTAAGTTCTGAACCTAAAAGTGGAATAATATGGAGTTGCTTCACTCAGTTGGCTGGTTTATGGTGCACAGTGACGCCAACAGCATGGATTCGATTTACTCACTATTTAGGTTATCATGAAGGTTTGGCCTTCTCAACGATGTCCCTTGCCTCAAATGAGTTGACCCACAGGTTACACTGTCACCAGTCATCTCTCTCTAATGAGAGAGCAGCCCTATGGTGCTCTGGGACAATGGCGACTTTACCTTGTCACATTATCTGGTACCAAGATATAAATCAACCATTTCTTCCACTTTAAATGATGTTTGAGCTGATTGTTAGTAGCTTCCTGACATGCTAGTACTTAGGAATTACGATTCCAAGATAATTTTACTGATACCTTGCTTTGAGGTTTACGTGGATCCTCACTGAGGCTTAGCAGGAGGTAGAGTACAGCCCATCTGTTTTTTATAATGCCCTATGTGGAACAGAACACATCTGTTAAACAAAATAAGACAACCTTTGTTTAAATTATACATCACAAAGCAGAAGGAATCTAAAACACATCCAAATGTTCAAACAGAATAACTGCAGACACTTCCACCCAATGTGTTATAATTCAGATACTTGAATAAGATCAAGATACCAACAATTTTTCGGAGAAACTAAAGGAAGAGTGGGGAAGGGGAAAGAAAGGAAACATTTGCAATGGAGGAGGGGTGGTTGAGAAGAAGAGACCAAATATCATTGAGAGGAAGAAGGATAAAGCTAATGAGGCAGATGCATTTTGGAAACTTATGTCATTAGAATGGAGACAGACATGGCTTTGGCACCAAGCTCTTCTTGAGCAATACCCAGACATAAAAAGATACTCATGACATAATTTTCCACGCACGAAGCATGAGATGGCACAATCCAAAGATGCTCAAACAGGGAGTAAACATCAATTTGTATATATACTATATGTAGAAAACATCCCAAGACACCTTGGTGGAGCATTATACCGCAAAACTTGGCACTAGTTAGTAAACAAAATTTGGCAAGGTGGACAAAAGCTTGGTCAAAGAGATAGGCTTTAAATAGCATCTTAAAAAATAAAAATCTGGAGGCTGATAAAAAGAGGTAACTCCAAAGTGCTGAAGGTACAGCACCAATTACAAAGCAAATAAATTTGGAGATGCTCAAAAGCACAACTAAATCAAAAGGGCGTGGGAGATTACAGCGATAGCGAGGCATGAAGAATTAGGTATTTTAATGGAAGGACCAGAATTCTTAAATTGAGGCACTGGTCAACTGGAAGCCAAATTAGGTCTGCGATTCAAGGGATTACAGGTGAATGGAATTTGATAGGAGTAAGAACTGGCACAGTTTCAGATGACTTCAAGTTTCTGGACAGTAGAATACAAGAAGGTGGTGTCAAAATGGTCACGTGTCCAAATAACACAAAAACAAAATTCTACAAATGCTGGAAATCTGAAGTAAAATCTTAAAATAATGAAAACTCTCAGCAGTTTAGGTAGTATCGGTGGAAGTATTTATGCCTGCCGTGTTGGGAAAGACCGTTGACCTTTGCCTTTAAATGAACAAAGGGAGGTAAAGAAAGGAGGCTGGGTTTTCCAAATAGAAATGCTGCAAGGCCAATCAAATTTGTTAAAGTAGAGAGTTTGGCAGCAAGAAAGAGTGTAAAAGAGTTTAGTATGATATCAGCAGGTTAAGAGAACGGACCAGCAGATGGTAGGTACAATTTTATGTGGATGTGCATGAGATAAAGGGCTGTGGGAGGAAAACCGATGAGTTAGAGTATACACTCAAATGGAGGGATGAGGAGTATGGATGTACAAAGACACCTGGAGATTCAAATACATCATTCTTTGAAAGTATAAATAAAGTCACAGAAGCCAATAGTATTTGGTTTTTATTAATAGGGCCAGAGTACAAATACTAAGGAAGGGATGATGAATAATTCAAATGAACGACTGGTTAGGCCACAACTAGAAACTATGCTGTACTGCTGCTTCATTATGGAAAGTACATTAAAATCACCGGAAGCAAACTATAGATTTACTCAATGATGCCAAGAATGAGAAACTACACAAGAAATTTGAGAAACCTGACAAGTCAGTACAGTACCTTTGTTTTATAAATGTTTACTTTAAGGCACTATTTGCACTGGTAATTATGTTGATGATGGCTTGCGGCTCAACCATCAAGTGCGGGCAGATACAACCATCATCTTTATACAGTAGTTTAATGTCAGAGGATGTGATTACCTTGAATCTCATTGGCAGGTTGAGGATGTTGAACAGGTTTCTATTTGTTCTATAGATTAGCTGGATTCCAATACGGATCTCACGGGGGTGAGGTGAAGCATCGCAGCAAGGAGGATCAGGAAGCGCACTGGTGCAATGATACAACTTGACCTTATCCGAATGTGAATTGGATCTGCAGTGGATCCATTGCTTAGTATCATAACTTGCATGTTATAATGGAGCAGCCAGAAAATGGTGAAAATATCAAAGAATACTCTATAATTTCTTGCTGTCGACAGTATCAAACAGCTTTGAGAGATCAAAGAATGCCATGTACAAGGGTTGGTGCTGTTCCCTGCCTGGCTTTTATAGTGGTTGTGCAGTGAAGATCATGTCCATGGTGCCCCATCGAGGGCAGAATTCACGGTGTGACTTAAAAAAAAAGAAAGAGATCTTCAGCTATATTTGAGGATTCCCACAATAACTTTTCTTGTGGCTCATAGTTGGAAAATTCCTCTAGTTATTTCAGAGGTTAAGGAGAGATTTGATAAGAGGTGTTTAAATCTTGAGCTTTTGAGACAGTATATAAAGAAAGCTTGTCACTGGCCTGTAGCCAATGAATAGAGGCTTAAATGAAATGGAACAAAAAAAAAGAGAAAAGGCAAGAGTAAGGGCTAAAGAAAGGATAGCAATTGAGAACCTTGAAACTTAGAAAACTTGAAGGGGCAGCCAGATTTCAGGATGAAAGAAAGTCATTGGGTATGGACACAGAAACCGTGATAGACATAGGAACACAACATCATGAAAAGTCATATTGGAAGCTGTAAAACAGGTAGATTGATTTTAACATGTACAGAGATGAATGTTAACAACATAATGAATAAGCTGTTTGAACTTGGAGGTCATTGCAGTTGGAATATGTTGTGTAAAAATTTCAGGAATATGGCTAACAACAAGGAATGGGAATAGCAAGGAATGGGAATAAAAGGAATTATAAACCAATCGGAACAAGATGCGACACATTGATGTGCGCTAGACATAGTATAGACTAAAGATTGATTGTATGGGACGTACAAATATTCATAATAGTTTCACTAGTCCGGATAGGCTTCTGTGAGAACAGGTACTTGTTTGCACAAAGCACCTTCAACATATTAGATGCCCCAAAGCAGTTCAAAGGAGCATAATCAAACTAAATCTGACATCACCTCACATAAGGGAATGAGGATACATGTTGAAAAGCTTGGTCAAAGAGTTGCACTTTAAGGACCATCTTTAAAGGTGAAATAGAGTAGAGAGGCAGACAGGTTTAGTGGGAGAATTCACGGCACGTTCCATTGCAACCGCAGAAGGTGCAATATCTGTCTTTTTACTTACTCCCTCCTCAGCATCCAAGATCCAAGCACATCTTCCATGTGAAGCAGTGCTTTACCTGCAGTTCTCACAATCTAGTCTACTGCATTCGCTGCTCACAATGTGGTCTCTTCTACTTTGGGGAAACGAAGTGCAGACTGGGTGACCACTTCGCAGAACACTTGCACTTTGTTCGCAAAGAAACCCTCAAGTTCCAGTTGCCTGACAATTTAACACACCACTCTGTTGCCTGGCCAACATCTGTCTCAGGCTTGCCATGGTGCTCCAGCGAAGCTCAACAGCACATCATTTTCCACCTGGGAACCCTGCAGTCTTCCAGACTCAATATCAAGTTTGTAACTTTAAGGCTTGAGCTGTCCCATGCCCTTACCCTAATGCCCACAACAAGGCCTTGTTATCATAGTTTGCTATAACGCACAACCCATGTTAGCCACTAACAGTCCCCATTAATAGCTATTCACCCTCCTAGCTAGATCATTATCTACTCCTTTGTCTGACAGCTCATCTCTCTCTTTGGGCTCTCTCCCCAACAATCAGTTACTCCGTACCCCCTCCCTCTACCCTATCTTCTGCACATAAACCAACATTTTCCTAGCTACCATCAGTTCTGAGGAAGGGTCACTTGACCCAAAACATCAACTCTGAATTCTCTCCACAGATGCTGCAAGACCTGCTTAGCTTTCCCAGCAAGTTCTATTTTTGTCTCTAATTTAGAGCATCCTTAGTTCTTTTGGATTTTATTTAGTGGGAGATTTAGCTACTGCTGGAGCAGTGGAAATCTGGGATGTATGAGTGCACAAAATTGAAACAGTGCAAAGATCTCAGAAGATTTAGGGCTTGAGGAGAGTAAAGAGATGATGAGGGGTAAGGAAAGGCCATGGAGAGTTTTAAAAACAAAAGTGGAATTTTTACATTGAGGTGCTGTTGAATCTGAAGCCAATGTAAGTTAGCAAGCACAGGCGTGATAGATTTGTTTGTTGAACAGAGAAAGGTGAAATGTTATTTTAATATCACATCTGTTGATCAAGCATAATCTGTAAAGGGCAAGCAGTTTAGGGTCAGAGATAAAATGTGACATATTACTGCTCAGTGACAGATGGATCAGGAAGACTGAAAAAAAGACTATGCTCATTTTGATCTGCTATGAACAAATAACATTAAGTCGAAAAGAAATGAAGTTTAGTGGGATAGAGACTACATGCCCTAAATTCAAAATGTCACTAGTTTTCTTCCATTCAAGAGCTCATTAAATCTTACCTGCGACTGCAGTTTACGGTGAAGTTCTGCAAACAAAGCAGCATCTGCCTCTCTCCTCTGCCTTGCCACTGTAAGAGAGAACATTATCATGGGGAAATGTTCATCTTAAAGTCACAAAACCAAAAGCTCATGAACTTATGCACTCCACCTCAATTCTATGCACAAGCATGGGGAGACTTGAATTTTTATCAGTTCTATTAAGTTTGAATGGAAGTTAAGGAGCATGGTCACAATCCATACTTTATTCTTATCAAAATCCATTAAAATTAATACATCTGTCATTGAAGGCTTTGCTTAAGTTGCTGTCCTCATATGTGCCTATTTTCTGAAAAAGTAGAAGTCCAGCCACTACGTCCTATACCTCCTACAGCCACGACACCAGGAAGGGGTGACAGTTTCTTCACCAAAAAAAAAGGCAATGATGCACTGATGAGCATTAAATTAAGCAGTTATTCCCAAAGTTAAGTATAGTAACAAATTAAAGAAAAAACAAAGTACAGCCAAAGATTAGTGGGAGATCAGAGGTTGGACAAATTTCTGAAACCAGCAAAAACGACTAAACACAAAACAAGGAAACCTGCTCTATGAAAGAAAGTTCGTTCTGGATACAAAAAAAGGTGAGGATTTCTACAAGTAAATCAAACAACAAATGGTAAATAAAGTCACACGGATAATGATTAATAAATGGATATGATGTAGTTGAATTTCAAAAGGCATTCAATAAGATGCTACATAAAAAGTTACTTAGCAAGGTAAGAGCTTATGGTGTTGGAACAGCGTATTAGCATGGGAAGTGGATTAGTTATCTAACAACAAGCAGAAGGAAGAGATAAAGCTTAAAGTTGGTAAAGTGTACCTAGTGGAGTTGCACAGAAATCCATTGTTGGGCCTGAACTATTTACAACATCTTAATGACTTAGATAACAGTAGTTAAAATGTGCTGATGACACAAAAGTAGGGCAGCAAATCAAGTTGTGAAAGGAATACAGATAAGTACGTGGTGGTGGATGGAGATTGCAAAGGTGTCTTCTCAGTATTGAAGCAGAGTGCCTTCAGACCATCCTGCTGGGAAAAGGATGTATGCAGGGAGTGCACATCCATGCTGAAGAGGTGGAAGCCAGGACCACAAAACTGGAAATTATTGAATGATGTCAGAAGAATCATGAACATAAGTAAGAAGAGATTGAACAAAGTGAGGAATATGAAATAGTGTCAAGATAGGAAGACATTAAGTTCAGTGGAGCAGGAACAGGTTTGAATTATGGGTCTGCCAGGGCAGTCCTGTTTGTGGATGTTGGAAGGAGCAGACTATGCGTGGTTGCAGGTGGTGGTGTGGGTTTGTGTTATGAGGTGAGAAGCTCTGGAACAAGATCTCCAGTGGAGGTGAAGTCCATTTCAGTCCTAGAAACTATAGCTTGACTGTCATTTTCCTTTTCACCACCATTAACTTCTCTTTTGTGTTTTGCACAGGACTTCTATACGATCTGTCCCCTTGTTCCACCTCTGCCTCTGTCAAAAGTATTTAAAAAAAACATTTTCCAACATAAGATTTTAAGAGGAGTCACACCAGACTCGAAGCAACTGTCTCTCTCTACAGCTATTGCCAGAGCTGCTGAGTCTTTTTTTCTACATTCTGTTTGTTTCAGGCTTCTCGCTTCATAGTATTTTGCTTTTATTAGAAATGTGAATTTTTTTCCTCAGAGGATTGTTAGTCAGTGGAATTATCTTCCTCAGGGAACATTGGAGCCTGGATTTTTTTTATATTCAAGACTGAGTTAGATGGATTTTTGTAAGGAGGTTCAGGGTTATGGAGACAGTCAGGAAAGTGGAGTGAGAGTACAATCGTGAGTTATGATATTATCAAATCACAGAACAGGATAAAAGTACTGAATGCAAACTCCTGTCCCTAATAATATTAGGAACAGGGAGGTACTTGGATTGCCATCTGAAATCTTTTAACACTAGAACAACGGAATCAGAAATGTTGATTTTGTTCTTCTGCTCTATTGTTTAACAGCAACAAATTATATGCCAAAGTAAATGGGGAATTAAATATGCTGGCATCATAGGTAATGATGAGAAACGCCAGAGAATCAAAGTAGGACTAAAAAAAGTGACCTCCTCCCTTGGAGGGCCATCTTTTGTTTAGGCTGTTAAAGTCTATGTGCAGGTTTTTTCTTCCCACCTTGATGTGGAACCCACCTTCTCTCCTCAACATTGAACATGCAACTATTCAATTTTGTACCAATCTTCCATGTAATTACTTGTTAAGTAAGCTAGGTGATTCATAGAACTTGGTAATAAGTACTGTTTACACAGCAATCACGGCAAGGACAGAGGATGAGAGGAGTTCAGTGACAGTGTTATATTTGCAGTAATCAATGCAAGGAGGGAGCGCAAGAACTAATATCATACACGGTCTTTTTAAACAGAAGACTTAGCATTGTGATCTTTTGCAAGGATCATTTTATTGGTAGATTGCACCTAATGAAGACATTGACATTGACATTCGCAGGTTTGACAAAAACTTAAATCAAACTACAACTTGGCCATAGTCATGATGACATAAAAGAAAAATTCCAAACCTAAGTGACCTGGATAGAGACTGACAGAACATTTTCATTGATTACTGAACTATTTCAAGAAGCCAACTTACTTTCTTTCTTGATCTTTTCAGCGACAAGAAATTCATCTCTTTCCACGGTGGGAGCAAAATTACTTCCAATTACTCTCACAGCATACTGGAATTGTTGAGCCACATCAGCTATAAAAGACAATTGCACATGGTAAGGCCTATTCAAATCCAGAGGTCTGATGGGAAATTAAAACAAACTAAAACTTGATCTTAAAAACAACAACACTGACAAAAAATGTTCCAATTTTAACTGATCTCGATCACTTTGCAATACAGAACATTATACAATCAAAACCCTGTCTCAGATATTTTCCCATGCTTCACACTACAAATTTCCACATTTTTTGCCTACTTATTATATTTACAAGTGTGGATAAACAATAAAAAATGCTGGAAATGTGCATTCAGAGAACTAAACGATGAAACAAAATGATGAAACAATATAAAGAGGACATGAGGCTAAAAGGGAGATAGACAGGTTACGTGGACAAAGATCTGGAAACGGCAGTATGAATGTAGGAAAGTGTGAAATAGTCTATTTTGGCAAAATGAAAGAGAAAGAAGCACATCAAAATTGAGAGAGGTTGCAGGACTCCGAGATGCAGAGTGCTGGGAGTCCTCATGCACGAATCACAGAAGGTTAGTATGCAGATACTGAAAGTAATCAAAAAAGCTAGTAGAATGTAATGGTCTATTACCAGGTCAATTGAATGCAAGAGTAATGAGGTTTGCTTCAATTATACAGAGCACTGGTGAGACCACATCTGGAGGACTGTGTACAGTACTGGTCACCAACTATATGGAAGGATGTTAATACATTGAAAGCAGCTCAGAGAAGGTTTATCGGACTAATACCTGGAACAAGCAGATTGCTTTATGAGGAAAGGTGCTTGAGCCTAGGACACTACCCTGAGAACGCCTACAGAAATGCTCTGGAGCTGAGAGGGCTGACCTCAAATCATTTTCTTTTCAGCTACGTATGACCACAACGAGCAGACAGCTTTCCCTTGATTCCCATGGATTCCATTTTGCTAGGGCTCCTTGATGCTACAATTAGTCAAAAGCAGCCTTGACTTCAAGTACCGTCACTCTTATCTGACCTTTGGAATTCAGCTCTTTTACCTACGTTTGAACCTAGGCTGTAACAAAGTTAGGGGCTGAGTGGCCTTGGCGGTACCCAAATTGAGCATCAGTGAGCAGATTACTGCTAAGCAAGTTCTGTTTCATAACATTTGATGACACTTTCCATTACTTTACTGATGATGTAGAGTAGACTGGTGGGGCAGAAATTGGCCAGGTTTGATTTATCCTTTTTGTTTAAGAGGACACATCTGGGCAATTTTCCACATTACCAGGTAGATGTCAATGTTATAACGTCCTAGGATCTTAAATAAGGAGTCTACAAGTGTTCACAGTACCTCAGATATGGTCTCATCAATGACCTGTATAACTGAAGCAGAACCTCCCTATTGGTATTCATTTCCCCTTGTAATAAATGATTACATTGCATCAGCTTTCCTTATTACTTGCTGTACCTGCATAGTAACATTTTGCATTTCATGCATTAGGACACCCAGATCTCTCTGCATGACAAGAACTCTGCAATCCTTCACAATCTCTATAATCTGCCCTTTTTTTTCAATTTTTGCTCCCAAAATGGATAATTTCACTTTTCCCACTTTAAACTCTATTTGTCAGATCTTTGCCCACTTGCTTAAGTTATGTCCTCTGTCTACTTCATAATTTACTTTGCTAACTACTACAGTGTCATTAGCAAATTTAGCAACCATATCTTCCGTCCTTTCCTTCAAAGTCACTTACACAAATTGTAAAAGGTTGAGATCACAACTTATTTCTGGTACACTACTTGTTGCATCTTGCCAACCTGAAAATGATACACTTACGCTTATTGTTGCCTGTTAGCCAGCCAACCTCTTATGTATGCCAATGTGTTCCTTTCCCTACACCATGAAATTATATTTTCTGCAAAAACATTTAACACAGCACCTTACAAATACTATTTGGAAAACCAACTGCAACACATCCACTAGATCTGTTTTCTCCACAGCATGTTAACCTCCTCAAACAATTACAACAACTTGCTTAAACATGGTTTCCCTTGGACAAAGCCTTGTTGACACTGTCCGATTATCTCAAATTTTTCGAACAGCACACTGTAACATCTTCACTAATAGCTTCCAGCATCCTCTTTTTGACATACGTTAAGCTAACTGGCCTGCAATTTCCTACTTTCTGTTGCCTTTTTGAATAAAGAAGCTCCACTTACTATTTTCCAATCAAATGAAACTTCTCCAAGTCTAGAGAATTTTGGAAAAACAAAATAATACATTAATTACCTTGCCAGTTATTTCCTGTATGTCCATAGGAGAAGGTTCGTCAGTACCTAGGAACTGGTTAGTCTGCAGATCCAACAATTTACTCAGTACCACATGCTTGATATAACTTTCCAAAGGTCCCTTCTGTTTTCCATTTTTGATATACACCCATTTCTGACATGTTACTCGTACCCACTAGTGAAAAGTACTGCAACATTACATGCTTAAGTAATCTGGCATTTCCTTATTTTTGATAATTAATTCCCTAAACTGACTTCCTCAGTGCCAACAATTTTCTTTTACCATTTTTCCTTTCTAAATATCTATGGAAACCGAATGTTTGTTCTTACATTTCTATCTAGCTTTCTCATATATTCCAAATTTTCTAGTTATACAGTCTGTTTGTGACACCACAAGTGGAAAAGTGCATACAGTTTGGTCATGTTTACGAAAGAATGTAACTGGATTAAAACAGTGCAAACTTCACTTGACCAATTCTTGGGATGAAACGTTATCTTCTGAGCAAAGGTTCGACACGTCAGCCCTATATCCATTAAGGGTACAGAAGAATGAGAGGTGATCTTAATGAAACATTTAATATCAGAGGGAAATTAACAGGGTGGATGCAGAAAGGATAGTTCCACTTGTAGGAGAGATTGGAACCAGCAGGCACAGGTTAAAAATGAGGGATCTCTCAATTATGACGCAGAATAGAAGAATCTCTCAGAAGAACATTAGTCCCCAGATTTCTCTTCCCAAAAAGGGGAAGCACAATCACTAAATATTTTTAAGGCTGAGTTAGACAGATTCTTAACTGACAAGGAAATCAACAGGTGTAGGGACTAGACAGGAAGGTGGTGCTGAGGCCAGGCGGATCAGCCATGGTGTTACTGATGGTGGAACATGCTTGCTTGACCAAAATGGCCTAATTTGTATGTTCACTGCAACTCGGAAAGTGACATTTCTGGTGCCAGGGAATGAGTTCAAGTAACTTATAGGGAACATGATATTAAGTATAGTTCAATTAGTAATGGACAACAGAAAGCAATAATCTAAAATGAAGCTTCCAAATTGGAGGGCAGCTAATTTCAATGAGATCAGGAGAACCTAACCAGATGAAACTGGAACAAAGAGTAACATGAATAAATGATAAACAAAAAGTCTTAGGAAAAATATCTTTACATACTGAATGCTCATAATCTGGATCCCACTGTGTATGAGGGTCATGGAAGTGGACATAATTAGTGATTTCACAAGAAAAAAGGATGGCAATAAAGAGAAATAAACCAGCAAAGCTACAGGGAGAGAAAAAGGGAACAGAATTGATTGGATTACTCAATGAAGACCAGCATTGCTCTGATACAAACGGCTTTCTTGTCTTACAACTGAATGTTAACTTTGCCTTTTCTCCAACTACATTCGATTTACCCAGATTCTGTTTACATTCCAAAAACCTGAACCCTTTCCTCTGATACCATCTCCTCAATTTAATTACTCTTCCTATCCCAGGTGATACCACAGGACTTTCACTATCCCTATATTGGCTGGCGCTATAATAATCGTGAGCAACCCATTCTCTATTCTCTGAATAGCTGAATTTCCGATTGGAGGACTCGAATTTTACTCCTCTCAATTTCATTGCCCCCAACGCGAGAAACGCCTTCTAGTCTTGCCCTTTCCTTCTCCAACATCCTTGACGTCGCTGTACAGTTAGCCCCTCTGGAAGACAAGCCACCATTCGAGCCGCTCAATTCCACCTGCAAACATACCCTATCTAACGCCTCCCCTGCACGCCCGTACCTCACTCCCACATTCCACTTGGGCTCGTTTTTCATTCTAACCGGGGCTGATTCGCTATCGACATTTCCCTACCTCACTGTCGCCAGGCCAGACCAGCAAGTCTCCGGCTTCACAAAGCTCCAGCCCCCGGCCCCACTCACCCTCATTGCGGCCCAGGATCCGGCAGCACAGGCTTTGCAACAGTAGATTCGGGGACTTGTGATCCACAGTCGCCATCGCCGGGCTTCCCACTATCCTGTTCTAAGAGACCCAGTTCCCGGGTCGGAGCCGTGGCCTCAGCTTTTCCACAGTTCGCCCAGGTTCGATCCCGGCTCGGTCTTAGCTCCTACCCGGCGCCAAGGGCGCCATTTTTTTAAGAGCCCGCGGGATTGCAACGGAACTACAACCATCCACTTCCTGGGCAGGGGGAACGAGCCGCATGAAGGAGATGGGCGGGGCCTGAGGACCAGACGCAAGCACGGCGCCGAGTAGGTAGTGTCAGGAGGGTGCGGCTGCGGGCCAGACCGGTGTGTGGGCGGGGCTATGTGTTTGGGAGCGTGGTCAGGAAAAGGAGCGCGGCGAGTGGGCTGGGACAACGTGCGGACACGGCAATGGATGGGCGGGGCCCTGACAAGGGGCGGGGACGGAGTGGGATGTGGAAGTGTGGGGAAGAAGGCGGGGCCATGACGACAGGCGCGGACAATGGGGTGGGCGGGGCCAGTATGGGCGGCGCATGATGGAAGAGATGTGGGCGGGGGCAAGGTGTGGGCGGGGCAGTCGGAGATTGATGGGGTATTGAGGGACAGAGCCTGTGGGCGGGCGGCGCGTAGTAGAGGGGCGGATCTTAAATTGGTGGGGCCTTGAATGGGCGGGGCTATCCTCCGGTAGGCTGGCGATGACTGGGTTACTCGTGAAGTAGGCCGTGCAATGATATGGCGGGTTATAGGGCAGTGTCGTGGAGTGGGCGGGGTGAAACAGCTAAAAGCTGGCACGAGGAAGCGCCTGTAGGTGAAGGCAAGGCTGTGAGGGGAAGCTGCCGTTTCCATGGTTACTGGCGGCCTGCTGAGGGTGGAGCTGACTTTTGTTGTTCTTCCCGCAGTCATCGTCCTGTGCCTTAGACTTTGAGAATTCGGTGTGAGGTTTTCTTGCTGAGATTTAAACATCTTACACACTGTTTCCATGTCTTTTGATGCAGGTATTGTTTTAAGTTTATCCGTGTTGTTTGATGAGCCTGCCATTTATTGCTCATCCCTGATGGTAACAATAGGTCATTTCAAGTGATAGCTATGAGTCAGTTACATTGCCGTGGGTTTGGAGTTACATCTATAAAGGAGGGAAAACGAACCTTATCAGAGATAGCAAGAACTGCAGATGCTGGAGTCAGAGGTGACACAGTATGGAGCTGGAGAGGCACAGCAGGCCAGGCAGCATTAGTTTCGTCAACTTTTCTGCTCCTCTGATGCGACCTGGCCTGCTGTGCTTCTTCAGCTCTGTATTGTGTTATCTTCATCTAAAACGAACTTCATAGCATCTTTCACAACCATAGGTTTTTCCAACGTGCCCCACAGCCAATGAAGTGTAATCACATGCATTGCAGCAAAGGTAATTTTGGTGATGTTGATTGAAGGATAAATATCTTCCAGCAAACTATACTGACAATAAATGTTTCAGAGATAGTAGGAACTGCAGATGAAGAAGGGTCTAGGCCCGAAACGTCAGCCTTCCTGTTCCTCTGATGCTGCTTGGCCTGCTGTGTTCATCCAGCTCTACACCTTGTTATCTCTGACAATAAATGCTCATCTTCAAAATAGTGCAATGAAATCTTTTACATCTGCCTTAGAAGACAAATGGGTTCTCTGTCTAACAACTCTGAGTCATATAGCACAGAAACAGGCCCTTTGGTCCAACCAGTTCATGATGAACGTAATCTCAAACTAAACTAGCCCCTCCTGCCAACTCATCTGAAAAACGGTTATGTCTACTGTGAAGCACTCCACCTTTCTACTCAAGTCTGAAGTAAGTCTTAAGAGGTCACAGCTGGACATCTAGGTCAGCCATCCCAGGTCAGTACAGTAGAATTCCTGTAAAGGGCATGAATGAACCACAAACCAATAGTTGTATGGCAACCTTTTCTCTCGTTCACATTAACTATTAATAAATTAATTGGTCACAATTCATTTGACTTCTGAGATTCCCTTCCTGCTCAACTTCCAGTACGTACTAAAATGATTGCTGTTAATTTTGTTATTCTCTTCCTCTCTGATTAAGTGCCCTTAGTCTTTGTCATTTTAAAATCTGAAATAAATCCAAGGAAAATGGCTCACCTCTGATTTGGTTTCAAAACACTGTTGGGCATTGTTACATTTATTGTAATGTAAGTGTCTTGGTGCCTCATCGTCTCATCTCAAGCTTCCCCATGGACATAAAGGCTATTCATGTGATGCTTTCACAGAAAGACTTCCATTATAAAGGTTTACTGATTGAAAGCCAAGGGAAGGTCGGAGATTCACTTTTCAAAAACTTTCTTGGGAATTGTGTTTTGGAGACGTGTCACAATCCAGTGCTTTTTTTTTTACTGTGATAATATGTAGGATAGTCCTGCCAATTGATTGTGTTGTCAACTTAACATTTTAGTATTTCAATCATTAAATCCACTGTATTAAAGAATTGCAAAAGTTTTTTTTCAATTTTAACTTACTGAATATTAGATTTAATCCTGATTTTCCTATAATCCTTCACCATATTTAACATGTTTTGAAAATTGAGGTTGCTGGTTTATCAATAGACAAGATCTCACTCTGCAATTTTAAATATACAGTCAGCTGAATTATCTTTTGATTATATTTATGAAATCTGTTGCACCAAAGAAAATCAATAAAAATTAGACTCCACTCCAGAAGCCAGTATGATGAAGTATTAGTTGGTGTTCTGTTTTGCTTTCTAGCATCTAGGCAGCCACAACACTGGAGACTGTGACTGTGACTGCATCAAAATAAGCTTGTGATCCCAAATTTTCTAGGGCTCAGTCCCAGAAACACAAGACATGGACAGAAGATCTGTTCAGGATCATCTTCCTCCCTGACCCATAAAATTCAAAAAGTTTCAGCTAACATTTAAGCATCCAGACAAATCTAAGCAAGAACAAAAAGTAACTTTGCTTTGTACTATGTCTTTAACATATGAAACAGCCTGAAGATGCTTTGCAAAGCACTATCTATCAATATTTGATACCAATCCATGTAAAGATGTATTGGAGCAAATAATAAAAGGCTTGTCAGGGAGGTAGGAGGAGAAAGGGATGAAGAGGTTTCGTAAGGAAGTTTAGAGCTGAGGGCCTAGGCATGTTGAAGGCTTCAGTACCAACGGTAGAGTAATTGAAGGAACAAATACACAAGAGGCCTGAATTTGAGAATCAGAGGTTGTGGAGTGATTCTAAGGCTTGAAGAAGTTATTGGGGTGAGGGGACATGAGGGATTCAAAAATACTGATAAGAATTTTAAAACTGACAAATTGCCAGACTGAAAACCAATTTAGTCCATGTGACATAGCGTTGTTGAATGAATAGCTCCTGTTGCTGTTAGGATATGCGCAGCTGAATCTTAAAGTTCATAGAGACTGAAAAGTCATGATTTTAAGGGGATACGTGGTGCTGGGCAGAATAATATTCAAGAGACAGTAGGAACTGCAGATGCTGGAGAATCTGAGATAACAAGGTGTAGAGCTGGATGAACACAGCAGGCCAAGGACCATCAGAGAAGCAGGAAAGCTGACATTTCGGGCCTAGACCCTTCTATTCAAAATGGTCACATTTATAGCTTTATAGAGGCATTTAAAAAGAGGTTTTTGTAACAGTGTGGCTAAGGAGATCTTGAAGAAGGAGTCATACAGCACGGAATTAGACCAACTTGTCCGCATCAACCAGGCATCCCAATCTAACTTAGTTTCGTTTGCCAACATTTGGTCCATATCCCTCTAAATCCTTGCTATTTACATACTTATCAGGATGCCTTTTAAATGTTGCAATTGTACCCACTTCCACCATTTCATCTGGCAGCCGTTCTGTACACGCACTACCCTGTGTGTGAAAAAGTTACCCCTCAGGTCCTTTATAAATCTTTATCCTCTCACCTTAAACCTATGCCCTCTAGTTCTTGTGTGATTTTGAAAATATCGGGAAAGTATTCGCCAGGAAGTGAAGTGCCTGTTCATTTTGTGAACGCCTGAATCTGTTTTATTCTTGTTTCATACTGCACATCCTGTGGGATAGATCATCTTTCCATCAGAGGAGATGGTATTGGAGGTATGGCAGCAATTGGGACTTCTGCCTAACAGCTGATAACCATCCCTTCCAGGTACTTTCCTTGTTGCTGGGGAGATAATGGCCTTTTAAACTTCAAGTAATAGGGTTCTGCACCAAAACAGAAATTGCTGGAGAAACATCTGTGGAGAGAAAACAGTTATCGTATCAAGTCCTTCTTCAGAACTGTAGCAAGAATATTCATGGCATGTATTTGCAGAAGATCGTCTGGATGAAGAGAGTTATCCATGTCAGCTGAGCGAGCTGCTGTACCCAGTATATTTCCTTATGAATTGCAAAAGATGGTGGTGATAGAGCATAGTGCTCTTTTGATAATGCACAATAGTAAAAGTACATAGTACACAGTTTGTTGGTAAAAGTTTCTAATTCTTCACATAGGTTGATCCAATACTTATTGGCCTGGAAACTTGCTGTCTTCTGCCCAACTGCTTTAGAAACAGACTATACTACACACGTAGTATGGTATATCATACCAAACAACATTTACCAATCATTTTTAAAGTAAACCTCGATTTTGTGGGAGGAAAAATGGTGAGGCTACCAGCGCTCATGGTAAAGTGAAATTGGTTAATAATGTTAAATGCAAAATTAGGAAGCTGTCTGATCCTTCTTCAAAACAGCTCTTTAAAGCGGTTTCAATTTCACCGAGAAACATATGGAACGACGAGGCTTTACAAATTTAAACAAAACTTTTACGTTTTCAATCTCTGCCTGTCGAGATCCCGTCTTTCTCCTACGCTGCCTTTCTTTTGGTAACAGTATCTGATTTGACCTCAATTCACATGGGTGTTTGGACTCTGTGTCTGGTTTTGCATTGAGCTGCGGGCCTCGTTCACACGTTGAGAGGGCGCTGGACTGTTCCTATCTCCCCACCGGTAGCAAGTTGTTGTACAAGCCACCACACCCTTGGAGATCGATTAGGAAACAAAATTATCGCGGAGACAGGAATGGCGGAATATAGTCATTCTTTGTTTTACTTTCGTTTCTTATTCCGGACAGTTTGAAAGGAATCTGGTGTGCAAATAGCCTACCTATTTGTGCAGGAAAAATCGATCACTGTTTTCCTATCTCTGTGCCGTAGATATCGTGCAGAGTGAAATGTGGGAGACCTAGTAACCTGTCCTTCTGAGGCAGCAGGTCCCCTCTGCGGCTGTAAACAGCAACAAGGCAGCGCTGTTATTAAACATTAATATTAAAGATTCATGTTGAAGGAGCAGGAGCTCCGCCCACACCCATACCGTGTTCCCGGTAACCCTGGGGATGTTGGTGTGAATCAGTTCCCCATCTGTCTGGGAGTGCGGGGCTCTGCCTGAACCGCACGCCCGGAGGAGGAGCCTGCTTTTCGGGAAGGAGGAAGGGGATCAGTTCCCGGGGAGAGCGGGAGCCCCCGGGACCAGGACATGCGCTGTGTAATAGCGGATTAGAGCCGCCGTTTCCAGCGCAGCGGAGACGGACAGGGACCGGGAGGAGGCGATGGACTGGAGCGGGCTCTGGAGCACCATCCGCCGCTGGGTGAGTGATCTTCGGCCCAGCTCCCGGCGTTGGGAGGGGTGGGGGACAGTATCTGTCGCCCTCCTGTTACCACCCCCCTCCCCGGGGTCCCGGCCCCGGGCCCGGCCCAGGCTTTATCCCGGGGCCTGGCACCTGTTCAAATCTGACTCTTCTTTCCCACGGTCCGCCCTCCGCTCCGGAGCTTTTGGGAACGGCTTCCATCGCCAAGTGTGGATCAGGTATCCGGTGTAGGGGAGGCTGTGGATCAGGTCCCCGGTGTAGGGGAGGCTGTGGATCA